AACTAACAAGTTAAAAATTTCTACCGAAAAGTCAAATTAAATTTTTGAGTACCTATTTGAATTAAACCAAATCATAATGAAGAAGAAAAAACGATTTTCAGATGAGTAATGTGTTAGCATTTAAGTAATTTACTGTTGGCACGAATGATGCCTCTACGTAGTTTACGGGATATCTTTCAGAACCTCAACTACGATTTGATTTAAATCCCTTAAAATGGCGGAGAACACGAGAAAAATATTGGCTTTTTTATTTTAATTACTAATCGATTCAAGTACCCAGTCCTATCCATTCTTTCTTAACATACGGCAAGTTGTCGCCGATTATCCCGCGTTATATATGTCAGCTTGGCTACAGCGCAACAATGATTTCTATTATTATTGACTATTCACTTTGAAACCTACTATATTAACAATTACTTTTAAATTCAAGTGTACGTTTTCGTATAAATATACGTGATTCGCATGAATTACGTGAATTACGAATAATAAGGTTTTCAGCACAATATCACGTGTACATGTATTACGATTTAAGAGTACACGGATAATAACAACACTAATTATTATTACAACATTAAACATTCACTCAATTTCTGTCTTGTATCGATATTCCTATTTTATTGTTATTCAAAAACGAATAGCTGTATAAACTTGAAATTTACGCCATATGTTAACATTATCAATTCCTATACTTAATAAAATTTTCAAAATATTTCAATAATTTTTAAGTTATKTATAGACATTTAAAATTTTCCTTTTTTTAGTGTTTATTCTATAAATGTCGATAAAATATTATTCATTGAGTAAAAAAAACTTAAAAATTCAATACAAGGCTCTCAATGAATTGATATAACAGCAGTTATAAAAAATAAAAAATATATGAATAGGAATGTTTTTTTTATAACCGTTTAAAGTTCAAATTTTAAAAAATGTATTTAATTGAAATTGTACAAATAATTTAGTTGTTAAAAATTTATAAAACGTTTAACTTTTATAACCAAGGATTGAAAATTCAAAACAAGGTACCTACWATTAATTAGTTTATTCTGCTACAAAAAAATAAATAAATCCAAAAACTATGCAAACAATTTTTTTTATAGTTATGTTACGTACAAATTTGGATGAAATTACATATTATTAAAAATAATATTATTCGTGGGTATTTATAATTTCTAGAGTATATTGTAATGATAGTTAATGTCGTTAATAACTTAAATTAAAACTTTATAATAAATTGTATATACCTACCATAAATGACTGAGTGAGTCGGGTACATAACAAATCTGAATTGATTAATTTGGAATTTATTTTATAGGTGCCTACACTCTTTTTTGTTTTTGAAACAATAAAAATATAATTAATATAGTATAAAATTCCTAGACTGACAAACCGTCTCTGCTCAGAATATTTTTTCGCATACAATGAATAATGATATTGTATCATTGAATTAAAATGTAAAACCATCCTTTAAATTAACCTACTTGTATAGCAGAGCGATATCCACCTACCCACTTTTTTTTTTTTAAATAAATTATTATTGATTCGGAAATGAAACCAATTTTATTTAATATCTTTTATTTTGATAAAGCCATTCCATCAAAATTAAGAAGAATAAATATTTATTATCTTCCGTATTTTCGTGTAACCATTAGGAGCATTACGGTATCGTATAGCGAACACACGTTTTGTCTGCTTATCGGTTTTAATTACCGATCACCCCTGTTTTAACCTCCTCTTCCATTCAGTTACTAAATACCTACTCAAACTCCTAAGCAACATGCGTATTCACTATTCATATTAAAATTGCTTGTTTTGTACGATTTTTCAACGCAGTTAACGTGCACAATGTATACTATACTAAACATTATTGATTGTAGTACAGTTTTCCCAATCTGTTTTTCCCGATTTATTTTTTCCAATTAATTATTCCCAATTTTTACTATTTCCTAATGCAATATGGCCAACCCATTTTTTCCAATTTCAATATTTACAATAAAAACATTTTCCCGGAATATATTTTTACAAGTTTAATATTTTTCCAAAAAAAAAAAAAACAACATTGTTGCCGAATACACGAAATCGGCATTTTGGCTACCAAATTCACGAAATAGACAAATTTATAATTATAAACAGTGGCATATAAATTAAATATAATTGCACGCGTGCTGATCGGCATTACCACACCGTTATTTTTATAACTTATATGATGATAGATGCTATGATACGTATACGCATTTTACGTAGGTGCACGGCGTCTATCACTGCTTAATCGGACTATAAAATATATCCATATATCTGTATACACCTATACCTATACTCGTATATCTCTAAATGGTACACATTTCATCATTATCTTTATTACCGTTTGCCGCTGAACTCTACATTTATACCTATACAGTATCTACACATTCTACACCAGTACCATACAGTACTCCAACGATTGGCAAGAACAAATAATTTGTCAGAAGTCTGGCATAATCGGTTCCAAGTGGTTGTTGTACGACAAAATCCTAGCCACTAGCACTAACATTGGTAGGTGATTTAAAGGAAGTTTTGGATCAAGTTGTAAAAGTGATAAATTATATTAAAAGTAGTCCACTAAAGTCAAAGTTGTTTGAAAAAATGTGTGAAGGTATGGATTCAGATAACTCAAAATTAAGTGAAGAAATAATTGTATTTTTAACAATAGAAGAATTGAAATAGGTACGAGTTTCTTTGAGATGAAAAGTGGTGGACAAAAGTTTCTTTTAACTGATATTTTTGAACTTTTGAATAAATTAAATACAAGCATGCAAGGCCCTAACGAAAATATCCTTACATCATCCGACAAAATTATGGCTTTTAATGAAAAATTAACTCTGTGGAAAACTCAAGTTGACCAAAATAAATTAACTATGTTCCCGCGAACTGCAGAGCGAGATGTAGACGCCAGTCTCATATCGTTAATTAGCGAATCTATTGTGTTACTGAAAGACAAAATTACGAAATACTTTCCTAGCATAAATGTTGAAGACTATGACTGGGTGCGGAATTCATTCAGTGTATCAGTTAATGAGGTAATTGGTTTGACATTCACGGAAGAAGACAATCTTATCTCACTGAAAAATGATCGAACAATGAAGCTAAAATTTAAAGAAATTACGGTTAAAATTTTTTGGATATATGCTCAAGCAGAATTTCCTGAAATATCTATAAAAGCAATAACAATTTTACTACCATTCTCCACATCATATCTATGCGAACAAGGATTCTCAGCAGTCACCACAATAAAAAATTAAAAAAGAGAACGACTTCGATCCGTAGAAGAAGAACTGAGAGTGAGCTTGTCGACAGTTCGTCCTAGAATAAAACGTTTGTGCACCACACGTCAAGCATAAATATCTCATTAATCGGTATATTATTATTTCATTGTACATAATTATCATATAAAATAAATATTTCTGCTAACACATTTTTTTCATCATTGTTTTAATTTATTTCACAATAATTAACCCTCTAATAGAGTAGATTATAAATAGTGTACCTATACATATAGGTATAAATATTATATATCTAAATATATACTAGGTATTATATCACGTATTATATGAATTGGTGTGCCACGAAAATTTTGTAGGAGACGAAGTGTGCTACGCATAGGCGCAAATCAGGGGGGCTTGGGAGGGCTAAGCCCCCCAAACTTGATCGTAGCCCCCCCAAAAAATCAAGGACATGAAATTTCAAAATTTATATTTTAAATGTGTACAATTTGTATTTTTTTTTTATGTTTACATAATATTATATATTATGAGACGGTCATGTTAATTTATAATTATAAAATATAAATTATCGCTGATATTATAGAAATAAATGTATAATTTTGACCGTAAATTATTAGAAATTATTATTAAAATGTTTTATTATTGGTATCAGACAATGGTATATACTATATACTCATTTCTAAATGTACAATGTATATTTATGTACCTATTTTATAATACAAGATTATCTTTATAAAAATCTAATATATCTCTAAAAATTTTCACAGTGGTTGGGGAAAGAAAAAAAAAGTTAGACAATTAGTAGAAGAGGAAAATTGTCAATTTAATTTGCTTACTGAATTGGGCCAAAGATAAGAAAAAATAAGGTTCATAATTGAATAAATTAAATTAAAATATAGGTATGAGTATACCTATAAAATTTGTAGATTTTTATTCAGTGTTCTAATTGTTCTAATAAGTTGCGATATTTAAATGAATTTACACTTTTTTTTTATATATAAGTACACTCTTCAGTACTTCACATATTAGTAATGAACACAAATTTGAATAAATAAAAATCAATTTAATTTAATAAATTGCTCAAACGGAATGTTATTCATCTTTAAAACTTATACTTATTAAAAATTATCCACGTAACACAACATCACAAAATTGATTACCTAACTAATATTGCTTAATTAAATACTGAAAGGCTTCATACTTCGAGATTCAATGTAAATTCCATTATAAATAATTTCCCTAATTTAAAAGAAGCCAGAAAAAAATAATTGTTCAAAACAGATAAGATATATTTTATTATTGTTTAAATTTAATAATTTTAAATCAAAAACAATTTACCTACAAGACGCAAGTGGTTTTAAACATTTTGTTTCTTAAYGTTCTTAGTAGATAATTKTATATTTTTAATGATTGAATATTTATTCTATTAAACTTTTGACATTTTTATCAAATATAATTTTATGAAATAAGTGTGTTATGAATAGTTATGCCTTTAAGGCATGTATTAGTTGTTCATTTGGAGTATTCATTAATACTCCTATGATATTGCGGTTTAGAGTTGAGTGAATTGTATTGTTATTGTAATTTACTGTATTTTATTTACATTTTTATCCAGCCCTCTCAAACCACAAAAAAAAAAAATGAAAAACATGAATAACAAGGAGTTTCTAGATTACACAAGGCAAGTACTCTAATCACGGCACTAGGTAGTATTTATATAATTACTGAAAAAGTTTTACTTACCTTGAGGTTTTTCATTTGTGCAGCTAATTCTACGACTTCGCGCGTTCCTCTCACGTTTTTGATGATCGCATCTCGTATGGGCTCATCAAACCGAACCGTTGCAGCAACGTGAAAAACAATAGAAATATTACGGGCCAACATATTGAAATCGTCATCACTCAACCCTATTCGGGTTTCACTCAAGTCACCCAATACAGGAATAATTTTTTTTTCTGCGACACCCGGATGCTCCGCTTTCAATTTATCAAACAGCTGGACGAGTAACAAAAAAAAACTTCACATAAACAAAATATAATAAATATTAATATAATACGTAAATCGATAATATTATTATTAATCAATTCAAGAAAGCTCATATTGGGAACGGTACAAATTCCCAGTTTTTATATGTAATATAATACAACGTGATAAACTAGAATTTTCGCAATTTTAAAATAATTATTTGTTAATTCTTATATTTTGGAATCTATATTTTAACATTTGCCACTATGAATCTATATTGATTATTGATACTCATATTTTAATATTTTTAATATTGAATAGACAGTATGATTTTACTTTTAATAAAACCTCGGTTATATAATTTTAATACAAGCAATCATTTCTCATAAGTTTCTTTATTGGATTTTCAAAAATATCAAAAATACTTGTTTTAATATGCATATTTAATTGATTAAAATGATTACAAAAGTAGGTAAGTTTAATAATTATTATGTTCAAGAAACAAATTCATTGTAAACAACAAAATCCAACAACTGTATCGCCAATGATATATCTGTAGTAGTTATGCCTGACTACAGCAATTCATAAAAAATAATAATTCAGACTGATTGAATTTTCTCGAAAATTGAGTAAGGTCGTTCAGGTAATAAAAGTAAATAACATTTTCACATGTGTGCAGATTTCGTCGTAATAAGTATATATTATATTACCGGAAATGTATACATCTAGGAAATGATAATAGTTCCAAGAAAATGTTGACAATTTCTAACGGATATCTCATGGCCAAAGAAGACCCTCCACCATGCCTGACGTGTAGAACAATCATCACAGTCAAGCATATACTAACAGAATGTCATCAATTCAGTGAAAGGCGCATTGAACTAAAACTACCTGATACACTATACGAGACGCTATCACCCACTCCCGAGACGACTAATAAACTCCTCAATTTCGTCAACTCAACAGGACTGCGTCAACTGATTTAAATATTCTAACTTAGATTAAAATGTAAATCCATAATTATAAGTAATAAGTAGAAAGCAATTATGTAAGTAATTAATGTAAATTTAATATGTAACGCCGGATAATAACCATGTAGTCGATGCCATAAACAATTAATAAAAAAAATAATTAATACAATTTCTAACGATGTCATACAAAGATGATATGTATTATTTTTTAATATTTTACTTAAATCTGCCTAATTTAAATATTACTTTTATCAAAAATAACTATTAATTAATTACCCTGCTATTACCCTAATAAATAATCAATAAAAATTAAGGGTAGTYAAAATTTTTTTTATCACTTTAATTTGTGTAATTTAAGCTTTTTACATGTTTCAAAATCATTAATGTTTATGAATTGAAGAGTCTCATCCTACACTAAGTGGATCACTTCATATATTGTAATAATTAGCCTTTAAAATTTGAATTTATAAAATGAAAATAAAGTAAGTATCTGTAAAAATTCAGGTCATATATGTATTTGAAATGTATATTGATGAGAATGTATGGCCACCAGCTGTTTTTGACGCACTGCGGATGTTGTGAGATAATTTGTATGCAAATAAATTTAGTGCATTGCAACAAAATATACTTTTTTGACGATGAGTTTGGTGGGAAAGGTAATTCTGATATTATATAAATACGGCTCGAATCATTCTGACTGAAATGAATTAAATTTTACTTATTTTTCGGTTTTATCCACTAAATATCCTCTTTTTTTCGTATAAGTACCTACTTACTTTTTCATAATCTTTATATATTTTTCACAAAAATTTCATATGTTTTACTATGATTGTATTTTATTATATCTCATTACTAACAAAAATTTTATACTTAAGTAGATACCTACTTTTTTCTTATTTTTTCTTAATTTCCGTGAAAATTACACATGTTTTTACAATTGTATTTCATTATCCCATTATATACTGTTGACGGAAATAAGACGTGAAATCTTCGTAATTTAATAAAAAGCTAATAATATAACTATATCGGAATAATGAAGATATTCTAGTTTCATCAAATTGGCCGTACCTATTATAGGTACTTATAGTTTTATTTACGACTATAATATTAAACATGTTATTATACAATCATAATAATATATTTTAGTCTCTAGATGATAAATTAATCAGCATTATGGTTTATAACTTATATACCTATCCAATTAATTTAACTTTTTGTATGCATTATACATAGTGCATTAGCAGGATACTTATGGTTACATACATTTTCCATTGAATAATTTGTTGTATTTTACTTATATGGGTATGTAATTTTCATAATAATTTTTGTCATACGTTTACTAATATCATTTTTTTTTCGAGTTTTTCTCTTACACCGTGTATATAAATATGCAATGTATACAGAATATTGATACATTTTATCAATCGCACGAAAGCACAGTTTAAATCTAAATTTTCTTATACCGGTAACGCCAATATGTCTGTGACTCTAGCAGTCATAGATTTTTCTTTTCGATGTCTCATTAAAACATAAATGTTTGTGATGCCCGGGCACGATCGTAGTAGTTTTTCGATCAATACTTTGCCCATGAATCCTGTGCCACCTGTAATGAAGATATCACATCCATCGTAAAACTCTTTTATGCCCATAATTACAGCTGAAACAAAAAAAAAAAAAAATATTGTATTGAAAAAAAACCGTAAAGCATAGTTGAGTAGATTTTATTGTTTATTTATGTCATATTTTTGGTATATTACATAATGCATCGTGAAAAAGGATACTTTACCCGATACATCTATCCCCCTCTCACAAAAAAAAAAAAAAAAAAAATTCCTTATGTAGAAATTTGTTTTTATTTTTTATTTTTTGGTCTTAAGACAGAATAAATTTAATAAATTAGGTATATTTTTGAAAAATGTCTATTTAAAACCAATACAAGTTAAAACAGTGCTTCTGATATAATAAGTCATGTTTAAAACAAGTAGGTATTATAACATTCACGATATTTTACAAAAACCCATTGCTATTATAATTCTATACGTAGGTTACCCTTTAACAAAATACATAATATATTTTATACGATAAGAAATACTATTAAAATAATGAATAAGTAACACTTCATAATATTTTAAAAAACTATATAACTAAAAGATTTTTTAAACAAAATAAAATATAATAATTATTCATTTGAACTCGATCGATTTTAGTTCTTATCAAAACACTGTCATCGATCCACGCGATTAACCACACAGGTATAAATGGGGTGGGGGCTATGAAATATTCAAATATATATATTTTTTTAATCGAATGACGTATTTAATTTGAACATGTTCTTTCGTTTTTTTCTTTTCTTGTGGGTACGTTTGATAAACGTCGGAACGACCACATCCGAATTGAATTACCTACATAGTATTAATCAATAGGTAACGACTTGTCAATGTGTAAATGTTTCACAAAATGTTGGATGAAGTTAAGCCAATACTGTGGTTAAGGATTAATAATTATTACTATCTAGGGAGGAAGTATTAGTATATATCACAAGACAAGTTTTTTAGTTTGTTTTTACTCGGTTGTAGAAGGATTTTCTCAAGCACTACATTTTTAGATCGTCAAGTTGTCACTACGACACAACTATAATAATATATTCATTTATAAATTAGTGACTAAAAATCTTAGATTATGTTCAGGACCAGTATTTTAATTGAAGATGCAAGCCTAGTATTTAAATTAGAATTCTTCTTTGATTAACTATAGAACATTATAAAAATCCATCCATTTCTATATGTTCGATTATTATATTTTTTTAATGATACCTTATACGCCTTAAACTATATTAGGTAATAATTTTTAGTTCACTACCAACAAAATCTAAGTTGAGTTTTACGATTTCCGAAAATAAAATAATCAATCATTAATTTACAAAAAATATATTATTACATAAAAATGATTTCTTAAAGACGATTCTTAGTCATTATTTAAACTTATTTAGGATACGAAATACGAATAATCTGCGTATACTGGATTTGATTAGTTGTAGATAAATTTCATATTTAAAAATCTTAAGTAGTGCATATTTTATATTATAATATTATATTTATATATGATTGAGTAACTATTCTAAGGAACCCCAACAAAAGTTATAAAAAAATTACCTAGTCCTGTTTATATAAAAAAAAAAAAAAAACGAAAAAACGGAGATCACTATATAAGCATCTAGATAATCATTATTATTATTATTATTATTAAATTATAACTAATAAGTACTTCCACGGAGAGACCTCCGTTTACCCGTATCGTACTTTATTTTTTATTTATTTTCATCTATATAAATTAAGATTATTGTTCAAATAACATGTAACAGGCGGCGAAAAATAAATGTTAAGTTTATATGATTATTATTTGTAATAATAGCTAATTATATTATTTATAAGMAATTGTAAATAACTAAAAATATTATAACAAGATCTTAATTATTGTAGTTTTCTATATAATTATTAATTACTTTAAATAAGATTTAGTTCACTCGATATTTGAATAAAAGGAGAAATATTTATTTTTCTCTAGTTTTGGTTGTACGATGGTTAGAGAAACACCTGTTTTGAACACTGCATTATTTTGTCACAGTAAGCACCTATAACTATCAATACTTAGGTATATGTAAAAAGTGTATTAACATTACCTTTAATCGAGTAGTGTTTACCTTTAATTTACACTATAACGTTACTAGTCGTAAATAAGGTAGGTAGGTGGAGAATTTTGATGTTTGTTCGGTTTTACGTCAATAGATGTTGTATTTTAGCAGTATAATTTATAGTCGAAGAAATGCGATGATAKAATGAATTAATAACGAACGCTGCGTTTCTATTGTGTTTGATAATTGGATTCCTTAATTAAAATTCAATGTTAAGAATACATTATGAACTAATATCGTAATTAATTATACTGTACCGCGCGTATTCGATTTGTATTAAATTAATTTTACATAATTTTCTATATTTCAGTGACATTAAAATATACATATTGTGAAAACGTATGATTAAACCTATAATAATGTAGTTTAAGGTCATATATAGGTACGTCCCATCACGGCTGCGCTCTTGACTGCAGTTTTAAATTACTTGCAGTGGCGAAAGCGAAATGAGGTCAAGCCCCCGAAAATACCAGCGAACCTTGCCAATTTCCACAATACACTTGCAATATATTTACGATAATATTATGCTTAATGTTTATTTAATGCTCTAAGACTTCTTCCTAAAAGGTGGTATATACTATACTTATATAAAATATCATGAGACTGAAGCATGCCCCTCTCCCACCTGGAAATTTGGCATTTTTGTAATAGTTTAGGTTATTTTTTTCCTAAAACGGCTTTGGAAGGTACGAATTCCTCAAAAACAGTGCAAAAGACAAGTAATACATGCAAAATATTTTAGTTCTAATAAACAAATATTTATGTGTTGTCTATATAAGAATGTTTACGCGAATAATTCTCCAAAGATTTTGACAGAATTTAGTACCTCTACCGCATAATTCGATTATTATGCTATTATTTTCCTATTTCTCGGATAAAGCTTTTATTAATAAAACTTTTTCAAAAAAAATAAAACCAATAGAATTATTTCGCTAATTAATAATCGGAACCTAGCACGATATATTGTTGAACAATTTATTGCAACATCATATTATGATAATTAATATTTTAACGTTAGCAAACAATTCTAATTTAAAATTTTTAAAAACTGTACTTAAGCTATAAGCTCGATTATCTGACACTACTTACAATACATACTTAAATTTAAATAGGTACTTAATTTGTTTCTCCCAGACATCTACTTACAAGGATATTTAATAAATTCATAAATATATTATGATTCATAATAAATATCACACGACTGAAGCCCCACCTCCTCCTGACTCGAAAATTTTAGCCTTTTTGTGCTAGGTGTATATGAATCATTAGAACGATTAATTTTAGATAAGTCCTGAGAGCGTCCAGCTTAATTTTTTTACCCTTTTCCATAACTCAAGTGTATCTTCAGTCCGTATTCAAAACTTTAAAGAGACAGAACCAAAATTTACCATTGTAATATTACAAATGTACGATGTTTATTTTTATTTGTGGAAATGTCCACAATGGGATTTTATTTTAACTGATAGTAACTGAGCGACTAGACTCTTTTGTTCAATAAGTCGGAGTATTTAGTTATAGTTAAGAAATTCAACCTAAATTGTGCCACATACAAAAATAATAAAACACTTTTTATAATTAGACATTTTCCACTTTAATGTCCAACAGTATCTCATACGAGTGCTCTATCAAGAATTCAAGAGCATTTAGGTACTGTTCTAATTAAATAACTATATATTATTATAACTTGCAAATGTCTCTACAAAGTGTACCCCGATGTGTAGTATTTTTATTAATCAATAAAAAATAAAAAAAACAAGTCAAATATTATAATTTTATGTTAGTATAATAAGTAATTTTTACTATTGGTGTTGATGCTTGGAATCTCCCTTAAAGTTGATTGTTTACTAAAGTGACATGCTGAATAAAAAAGGTTTTACATTATTGTATTATGATATTTGAATATTGGCACACTTACAAATTACAATAATATATAAATATATTATATTATGTTTGTAATTAAAACGCAGAATGCACATTCAGTGGCGTAGTTACGGGGGGGAAGGGGTTTCCACCCCCCAACCACCCAAAAAAAACTTTTTATATTGGTATTTTATCTTCTGTGATACTTATATAATACTAATACGTTTAGTTTAACTAATAACTGGTAATTTGTGTCATAAATATATTTAAACCCCCCCTCCCCAGAAAAAAATCATATCTACGCCACTGTGCACATTACAATATTATTGTTCCGAGCAAACCATTCGTTTGTGTTCGTTTCGATGCCGCGCTGCAGCAATAATATATATATTATTATATATTTTTTCCATTAGCCTGTCACATGTCATCTGTATTATACATATTTGAATAGCTGTAACGTGTAGTAAAAGTACCTATACTAATATTATAATTATAATTATATTAGAAGAACGCCTTATACCACATTAATACTAATTATAAACATATATAATATCATTGATTATAGATAGTATACTATCTATACTCAATGATAATATACATATTATATATATATATATATACATATATAAGTATAATGCTATGAGCCGCAGTCAGCTAGTCAATTATTATGATAATAATATTCTCGTAAGTCGTAGCAGGCCCCAGGTACCACCGAATGCACCGCGACGAAGACTACACGAAAATAATAGCATATTATTGTAATAAAAAAAAGACTACACGGTTAGCTTCCATATGTGAGAGGATACGATCGCCGCCGTATACCTAGGTAGTAGGTATATAATATACAGTATACTTGTATATATATTATATACACAGTATTACACACATTACACGTATATAGGTAAAATACCACCGTGGCGTGGACGACGAATACCTATAAATTATGAACACGCCCGACACGGAGAATGTCTTTTTTCCGATGTTTTATCGGCCTACAATAATATTATTATTATATAGTCCGTCGTCGCGGCTGTGGGTTGCGCACTTGGTGGGGGAGGGGTATAAGCACATATAATAATAATAATAGTATCAGTAACACGCACAGGGCACCGACGAATGAAAAACAACAAATAAATATGACTATGGTCATTGTGAATATATATGGGCATATATTAATGAAACTATATGGTATACAGGATGATTCACTAAATATTTTTTATTATAAAATTCATCCCCCTTTTTTTACCATATAATGCTACATTCGATCAAAATCTGATTTTTGGAGTTTTTAAATATACACTCAGAGGTGGATTTATTTGTAATAGACAAAGTAGGGTGATGCCTAGGGTGGAGGATTCTACTGTAGTGTGCTTTTAAAAAATATTTCATTGGTATAAAAATAACAAAATAAAAAACACTGACATTTTAGCAATATTATTTATACCTACCTATACTTTACTGTCTTTTATAGTTTACGGTCCAAGTATATTCAATCCTTATATCATCCGATATTACATTTATATTTTCGTAACCCCATTTTCAACATAAATAATTCGTTAATCTGAAAACTATAAAAGTTTAAACTTTGAATTTTCAAAAAAAAAAAATTCACCCATTAAATTCACACAAAAGTCTCGATAATTCTATCACCCGATCTTTAATAACTTTTCAAGTTATAAAAAGAAAATTTTATTGCTGAAATACTTTCGCTGAATTGCTCCTTCAATTCAAGCTCTAAAAGAATGTTTTTCCATTTCTGTATAAACCTGACTACCTATATCACTTAAACTTATTGTATTTTAATATTGTTGTAAGGTTTTTGAACATAATTTTAATAAAAATGTAAAAAAAAATGTTCAACTGGTTAGTTCCACGAAAAAAATCTCAATAGTGCAAAAAACGGTTTTTATCAAAAAAATCATAATTTCCACAAATTTTTTTTTTTATTATTTAAGAGATAATATACAATCTATACAATATAGCATAATAAGTATATGTGAAAAGAGTAGTTATACATGAAAAGACTTGATTAAGAAATCACCCTATGGTAACCCTGTAAAATTGAAAAGATTGGACGGTGGGAGTAAGAAGGCAGGAAATTTATTAAGCAGTAGGTAAGGTACACATTTTTTTTTTTTAAATTTAAGAGGTCTCTGCAACATCTTCTTTTTAGCCTCCTACGAGGGTTTTCCGGGAGCGTTAAGGAATTTAGGCTTTGAATCAGTGGATTTTCGTGATTGTTTAGACGTGAGAAAAATCGTTTGTAAAAGATTACAGATTCTTCTTCAACAGATTTCATACGTAGGTCGTTATGAAGGGTAAGATTAGATATGCAGGGTTGGGCGTTTGTGATTTTTCTTAGTGTTATATTTTGATATGCTTGAATTTTGTTTAGGTTCGTTTTTTTGGCTGTACCCCAAAACTGTAGTCCGTATGACCAAATTGGCTTTAACAGTGATTTGTATATTAATAATTTAGTTTTTAAACTTGAACATTTATTATATTATATTATTTGTAATTAAATTTTTAAGTGAACGGGAGCGAGAGTTTAAAATTAATCTTTTTGATTTGATATGTTGGTTTTCCACAAATTAGAAAAATAAAATAGAGGGTGAACATGCCCGTTGAATCGCCCTGTATAGCATAAACATCGGAAAGATTCGAATTTGAGTTTTTGACTTGTGATGAAATTATCGGTATAGAGCGCCTATATATATTATATAGTATCATGTGGTGTGCAAGGCTTTGATGTATTCATTAACATATTATTATACCTAGGAATCTATATACTGACATCCAACTGAATTTGTAAATAAATATATATATATTTTTAATATCATTTATTTCTAAAGCGTTATAATATACAAGACAAACGCATTAAGTCGTACGCATAATATAAATATATGATATCCATAATATACATAAGTTATAGGATTCCCGCGGACTATACGGACGGCAGTATTATATCTGGTATAATATCAGCTATTATACCTATAATATTATGTATATTATATTACGTATAAAACTAAGCGTTCGTATAGGTCTTGTTTCGTCCCAAAATCGGATGATATTATTGTGTATATAAAAACATAGTTTAATATACCTACCTCATACGAGTTTTATCTTGATTTTAGCTATATGGTGCGTAATAGGCCCACCACTTTGTCCGGTTTGTATAATACAAAACGTTAACTCGAGGCAATTCGTTACACCGCCGCCGCCGCCTCACCTCGGACGCTTGTAATGCCTAAATTGTATACAC